GACACAGTAGGACTGACACACATACAAACTCATAGAGACTGTGATGGCATGCACAGAGTCCAGCCAGACAGGGTCCCAGTGCTAAGAATGGGAGTTGATGCAGCCTCATGCCCTAACCGAGAAGCCATCTGTAGTTGATGCTTGCAAAGAAAAAAATCAGTTTTCTCTATTGGAGTCTCACCAGATATGTTAACCACACTTAAGAGTAGTTGGCCAACACAAGACAATAATCTTTTTGTAGATTGTTTTCTGATTTTGTGGGGTTTGTTTTGTGTGTGTGTGTGTGTGTGTGTGTGTGTGTGTGTGTTTCTTGTGCTTTTGTTTGTTTGTTTGTCTTCTAAAGAGAGTAAAAAAAGGATGTGAGTTGGGTGGGTAGGAAGGGAGAGCCTCTGGGAGGATTGGGGGAGGAAAAACATGATTAGTATATAGTGCATAAAAAATCTTTTTCAATAAAAAAGAAGAGAAAATATGTTGCAAATGTGTTTTTTTTTTTTTTTTGTGTTAAGCAAATTCTGCAGACAGATTGATGTAGAAGCCGATTGCCCTGGCTTAGGAATGAGGTTATTCATATGGAAAACTTGGAACACACAAATAGAACAATACAAATTCTTTTTATTAATCACAATTTTAAAAATTATTAAAAATTTTTTCTTTCAACTCTCCACCCTTATAGCACAGGGAGCCGCTTAGACACCCTGCATATTCAGTGTAACCAACTGGAAGTCTTTTAAATGTAAATCCAAACCAATATGTCACCTGAGACACTTTTTAAACACATCTTGATACCAACACCAAATCAAATAGAACTCTAGGAACTCCTTAACATCATTTTATTTCCAGTCCATCTTCAGGTTTCCACATAGTTTCAAAAATTATTTTAAGGGGCTGTATTGTTTGGGGGGGGGGACCTGAAACATCTTCATATTGCAAATGTTTGCATGAATTTAAGGACATCTATTTTGTTGTTTTCTTTAGATGCCATTTATTTGAGGGAACAGAACAAGGTCTCCTTGCTGTAAGATGTCCTGTGGTAAGTGCCAGCAAAGAGACAGAGGTGGTGTTCTTTAGATTCAGGGACAGCAAGGTTACAATCCACATTTATCTAGTGGTGCAGGTAGCCATAGGGGATTGTCACCTGAACCATGTGTCACCAGCAGCAACAAAGGGTGATTTGCTTATCCTCGCCCTCCTTCAGTCTAGTAGCTTCCCCTCTGCCATTTGCCAGCCCTGAGACACACAAAAGGGAAGCAGGGGAAATAATTGTCTCTTTGCTGACACTTAGCACTTTCAGAATGGGTTAGCATCTTCCCAAGGCCCCATGGAAACATTCATTACAGCCCCATGTTGCAGAGGCTGAGACAGAGCACTGACTGGGAAGAAGACAGAGGTCAGTTGGAATGGGGAGTTAATGTGGGAATAATAGCACAATATATTTTTACATGTGTCAAGTTATCTTTAAAAGAATAAGAAAACCTTTCTTTTTAGATAATTTATTTATTTTTTATTTCGTGTGCAATGGTGTTTTTGCCTGCATGTATGTCTGTGAGGATGTCAGATCCCCTACAACTGGAGTTATAGACAGTTGTGAGCTGCCATGTAAAAAAATAAAACAAACAAACAAAAAACAACAACTTTTTCTCAAGAGAATTCATTCCTAGTGACTCAGCAACACTCCTCCACGGAGTGATTTCAATTCTACACCTGCTAGGGTGGCTACTAGAAGCAAGGATTGATGAGGACATGGAGGAATCTTGATTCTGTCTGCCATTGATGGTCCTGATAAATGCTGCATTCCCTGGGAGACAGCTAAATCACCTCAGGACGTTAAAACAGAACTTCCATTTGACCCAGCCAGCCCACTTCTGGGTATTTACTCAGAGTCCAAGGCAGTGTCCAGAGAAGGCAGGGGCACTTCTGAATTTACTGCAACATTAGTAACAATAGTGAAGACATGAAGCTGAGGGCCTGCAGAGATGGCTCAGTGGGTAAGAGTACTTGCTTGCAAGCAGAGGAGCCCTGAGTTCAACCCTTCACCACCCACGCAATAGGATGTGTGTGTCTATAACCCCATGACTGGGACCAGCTAGCATAACAAAACTCCAAGTTTCAGGTTCAGTGAAAACCCTGTCTCAATAGAGAGGGACAGAGCCCTTCTTTGGCCTTGCATGTGTGCACATGGGTACAAACACAGGCACATACATGTCCTCACACACGAAATGCACATACACTTATACAACCACACTCCCAATGTATTCACACACACAGTACCCGATGTGAAGGTGACCTAAGTGTCTTTCAACAGATGGATAAAGAAAAGGTAATATATACAAAGAGTAGAATGTAATTTGACTTTTAAAACAGGAACTTCTAAAACATGTGGTAACATAGATGACTCATGAGGTCATCGTGTCAAATGAAATAAGACACAGAAAGACAAGAATGCATGGTTCTCTTACACAAAGTATCTAAAATAGCCAAACCCACAGGGCTGTGGGGATGCAGAAATTAAAAGCTATTGTCAGCGGTTATGAAATTTCAGTTGTGCATGACAACTAAGTACTAGAGAGCTACGGTACAAAGCAATACAGTTGCACTCAAAAAGTAAAGAAGAAATCTTAGGGACTATCCTTCCTCAATCTAAGCTTAGAGGTGGGGAGGGGTGGAGGAACAGGGAAGCCTCCTGCCCTGGGCACCCATGTGGAAGACTAAGCTGAAGAACTGTTTCTTTTCCAATAAGCTCCCGGAAAGTATCCAGCGTACTGTTGCTAGTGTTAGCAGAATGCCCATGAGAATGAATCTGCAGAAGTTACCTCTGTTGCCATGTCAAGAGCATGCTTTTTCAGACAACACCTGACTGGTTGGTATTACTTCAAAATGCCTTACTTACCACAAAGAATTGACTAGTGGACTTTCTAACTAAAACAGGCATGAGGGCTAGCATGAACTCTTGGTAAATGCACTCTTCCACATACCTTCAAACTCCTGATGACAGCAAATTCAAAACAATTGCTGCATATTTCCTTGAAGTGTTGAGCATAACACTATCCAGGTGCCAGTGAAGAGGTCCCATGTCCAGGAAGAGTCAGAGGCCATCGGAGGTTGTTTTTTAACCCCGTGAGCTGTCCTGGGATGCCGTGGATGCATGTATCGGATAACTGTAATAACGATAACATGACGAACCTGGAGGGATGCTAGAGGTGAAGGCAGATGCCCAAGGGTAGCAGAGACACCGGAGTGCTTAGGTGTAAATAGAGAATCACAAAAGGGTGTGGCACTGGCGAGGTTGCAGTGCAGGTGCCTGAAGGTTAGAAACCAGAGAAATGAGAGGGTCTGTGCCTTTAAAAGCAAGTGATTCTGTATGTAGCAAGGGTGTGTCTGCTGAGTGCACCCTTGGTACCACCTGCCTGTGCTGATGCCTTCCCACATGGTGCCCTTTGCCTGGGGAGAGCCCGTTTCACAGAGAAAGCTCCAGGGTTGAGATCTGTGTCCCATATTCAGTAGGATGGTGGCGCATCTGCCTCTGAGTGTATACACATGCACACACACACACATGCACACACACACACACACACACACACACACACACAACTTATTTTAGTTTTAATTACATATAGGTGTATGTCTGAGCGTGTGTTTACATGAGTGCAGATGCCCATAGTGACCAGAAGAGGGCATCTGACCTACCGGAGCTGCAATTACAAGGAGTTGTAAGCAATCCCATAAATTTCTTGTATCACTCATGGGAAAATCACTTAAAATGCATGCTCTGGGCTGGACCCCAGACCTAGTAAATAAAAGTCTCTAGACTTGGGCCCAACGGTGAACACATTGTGCCACTTCCCATGTGAGCCGGGACATACTGAAGTCTGAAGCTGCAACCTGCAAAGTGGGAATCTGTTTTGCTAACTCCTATGGAAAGGCTTATCTCCTGTTTGTACTCCGAGTTCTCAGCAGGCCTTTACTATGCTAAGTGGTGGCCAGCAATGATGCAGCCAGCTGCCTGGTGAATTTTGAAATACAGCCACCTTCACACAGGAAACATTAGAGGCCTATAAAGAGACCTGGCTTTCTCAACAGGAAAACAGAACACTAATTTGAAGTCAAACAAAACTCTCATGAAAAAAATATTCATAGTATCAGTGGTTTCCGTATACACTTACTCATTGTAGGCATTCATTCACAAAGAAAACTGCAAGATATATTTTAATTTTGTCTATATGCGTGGGTGCTTATGTGCATGTATGCACATTTGCAGGTGCCTACTGAGGCCTGAAAAGGGCCCTGTGGATCTGGAATTACACATGGCTATGAGCCACCCAACAAGATGGATGCTGGGAGCCAAACTCCAGTCCTCTGCAAGACAGGCAAGCATTCTTAACTCTGAGAGCTCTCTCCAGGTCTCAGAGTGTACATCTTACTGAGCTTTCCAAAATGGTCATGGCTGTGGAAACCACTATGCTGCCAAGCAACAGAACACAGAAAGTATGGCTCCGCCTGCCCATCCTGCCCGAGGAGAGCTGCCAGCCTGACCCTAACACCACAGATGTGTGCTGCTGCCTGGTTTCTCAGATTCACTCTTGCCTCTCTGTCTGTATGGATTTCCACTGTTGTGTGTGACGCTATTCACTTGACTCCATCAATATGTCTTCATCACTAAAGATGGGTCTTTATTGAGACTATCATAACTGGTGCTGCTGTTGGCCAATAGGAAAGCAAAATAGGCGGACTAGGAGACAAGGAGAATTCAGGGGGAGGTAGGAGGAGTTTCAACATGTAGGACTTGAGAGACCAGAGGTCGGATTCCTCTCTCTGGTAGATAAGACCAAGTGGAAATACTTAGATTAATAAAAATGGGTTAATATTTAAGACAGAGCTAGCCAATAAGAAACACTAGTAACAGGCCAACAGATTTATATCTAATATATTGTCTCTGTGTATTATTTGGGGCTGGAGCAGCTGTGGGACCAGGCGGGTGGAAAGGGAAACTGCTCATAACAAAATGGCTCCCAATGTGTGGCTCGAACCCACAACCCTGAGATTAAAAGTCTCATGCTCTACCGACTGAGCTAGAACTAGCTCTACCCTAGAACTAACTCTGTAGACCAGCTGGCCTCAAACTCACTAAGATCCGCCGGCCTTTGCCTCCAGAGTGCTGGGATTAAAGGTATGTACCACAAACACCCAGCTTGGATATTTTTATGTATGTCTCTTAGTAAACACATGTGTGCCATTCTATTGTGTATTTAGTGAAATTGCCAGTTTCTAGGATATGATGTCTGTCTGTCTGGAATAATCCTGGTCCAATTTTTCCTGTTTCTTTGTGTGAATGCCATTGATGTGCCCTCCTGCCCTGAGGCTGGGCTCTGGTATATGACTTGCTCAGGCCTTGGAGAGTAGAAAAGCAGATACAAATGGATACGAACACATGCTGGGTTTTGATCTGTCTTTTGCTTCTCTCTGAAAACACATCCAGGGTGCTCTGCTCCAGGATACGAACTACAAGAGAAGGGTGAAGTCATTTGGATGAAGTCATCCTAGCACCCAACGCAGGACTCTACCAACTGCCCACAGGTATGAGTAAAACCAGGTGAGATTAACTCAGCCTAATTCAAATAAGTAATACTGCCTGCTTGACTCCCTTGTTTAAAGGGAGAAATGGTAGGATTTTAGGAAGCAAAACTTTTGTGTCATTTGTTACACATTACCCATTAGTATTTGTTATGCAGCAATAGCTAACTGCCACATTGCCGGATTTCCGAAGGATTATGTCAACTGACACACCACTGACATTGTCTGGAGGTCTGAAGTTGTGTGCCCTTATCAATAAGTGGTACACAAAACTATATGGAAAACAAAGTATTTAGTCTTGTTTTCCTTTTAAGCATCCCCCAGGAGCATGTAACTGTATGGAGTAATAGATTCAATTTACATTGTACTAATAATTAATAGTGTTGAGTACCCTTTTATTAATTTGTAGCATATCCTCTGAAGTATCTTGGCTTTCTTTATCTTTCTGTTAGATGCATTGCTTTCTAGCTGCTGAGTTTTACAAATGAACACATATCTACAGACACACTTTTATTACATTTGCTTATTTGGTGTGTAGGCATGTATGTGGAAGTCAGAGGACAACTATAGTTCTGTGCTCTCTCCTTCCAACACACAGGTCCTGGCAGCAAGCGCCTTTACCTGCTGAGCCATCTACCGGTCCCAGATGGTAGCCCTTGGTAGGCATATCTATGCAGACATCTCCTGCTCGGTGCCCCATTTTACTGTAACCAAAGTAACCCCTATGAGTGAGCATTTGTAATTGTTTACACATCTTATCTTTTATAGATCTTGGCAATTTTTTGAGAACATCAATCATTTTGTTGTTGTTGTTCCCTAAAAGCTCTATCATCTTTTATGGTTAGATCCTGGAACTGATTTTTCCACTCATGGTACGCAATGGCAGTCAAAATATTCTCTGGCTCCTAATGGGTATTCAGTTGGCCCACACATTTCTATGAACCACAGTTAGTTGTAGACTTTAGTTTGCACAGCTCTCAATGCGAGGCAGAATGGAATTATGGGAAGAGTTGCTAACTGGGCTCTAGTCTCAGCTGCGGTACCAGCCCACTGACTCTGTCCTTGGTCAGGTCACTAGAGCTGTGTCTGTCCATTCATTAAAAAAAAAAAAAAAAAAAAAAAAAAAAAAAAAATGAGGTAAGCTTAGATTGTCTTCAGTGTTCCATGGAGAAGTGAGGTCAGATTTCAAGAATCTCAGGGGAAGTGTTCAGCATATTGGTGACCAAATTTCCTTTACCTGTTAAGATGGAAAAAAATCACACCCACTTGTCAAGCTATTGGGAGAATAAGAAAAATGTATGTGAAGTTTTATGCTTGGTACATTATGCCGTTCAGCAGGAACATAACGAAGCTGTTGGTAGTCTTCATGCTGTGAAAGGGAAATGGTCTTCATTTACTTTCACAAGACACAACTGGCATCACACTTAACAGACATCACAGGCTTGCTTGGAAATAAAGCTGCCTCATCCCATCCGTTCCTGAGACATTATTTTGTCAAGATATAAAATCAGATTTCTAGAAATCATTCTCTATCATCCTGGATGTTGAAAGTTTGCCATGTGTAATTTGTAGAGTCCTGAATGCCACAGTGACTCGGCTGCAATGGCACCTGCCCGGGGTGAACCGGGAGGCCTGAAGTCCTTAAGTTTCTACAGGGATCCTCAGGGTTTCCCTGATGTCCACACTACTCCACCGAGGTAGTGCTCCTCTGTGCTCTGCAGCTCCTTTCTTCACAGCAGTTACAGCTGCCTCACAGACCCCTACCTTTGTGTTACTCGTTCGTCTCCTTCAACGAGAATGTAATCTCCCAAGAAACAAAGCTGTTAACTTCACTACATGTCTTCATTTTCACGCTTCATATAGAGAAGGCCTAGCTCACAGTAGGTATACAAGAAATATTATCAAGTAAAATGGATGACAGCAAAATAAGGGCCACATAAATTACCTGTAAAGAGTAGTAACTATATTCAATTTGCTCCATTCGCTACATAGCGTGACATAGAACCAAATATGGGTCGACTCTCATGGTGTCCGTCCCATACTCCAACTATAGCAGGTGTTCAGACCCAACTTTTAGATAAAGAATATTAGCCCTGCTAATAAACATATATTTGTGAAGTGTGCCTCTGGGAATGATAAAAAGGAAATTGATATTTCTCACATACATGTGCTGTAATTGTTTTTGTAGAGAGGAACTGTTTAATAAATACAGTTGCTGAAGGCACAAGCTATCCTGAAAACTATTGTTTTCCCTTTAAATGAAAACAGACACCAGAACCATGTTTACACTATAAACAAAAGCCAAGTTTTGAGTGTTGATTACTAGAAAGTTTCCAGTTTTGTCCTTTACCCAAATAAGTTGTTAATTAAGATAGACAAAAACCAGGAAGCATGGACATTTAGTCATTTCATTTCCTCACCCCGGGCTGCCTGGAGTCATTTCCTGCAGGAATCCAGCAGCTGCTAAGAAAATCATCAGCCTGGGTGGGTGATGCTCCAGGCTTGGGTTACAAATCAGTGTTTTGTTCAGACGTGGATGGAGCCAGGTCAACTTCAGAAATAAATCGAAACACGGCCATGAATACCGCTTCTGCATTGCTCTGACAGGCACGTTGACCTAGTGGAAGGAACTGTGAACAAAGAAACCCAATGTCTGTGTTTGGCTAGGCCAAACACAGCTTTCACCTCCTGTGCCCTAATATACTTGTCCATTTGGGAGTAACAGCACTTAAATTCTACAACCAAGTTTGTTTGTTTGTTTGTCTTGAAGAGGGAACAGCCAAATTCAAAACATACCTATTTTTGTACAAGTTCATGATTTCAACAAGTCATGAGGATGGAGCCTTTGGCAGGTAGTGTCAAGGACAGAGGCCTTTAGAGAGTCCCATGTGTTGCACATGAAGAAGCTAATGGTAAATAAAGAAACTGGCATCTTTTATAGTCTTACACTGTTTTGAGTAATTGTTTCTTACAAGTATTGCATGTACAAGTTTTTCCCCCATTGCTACATTGCCTGCCCCCTGGGAAGTAGAAACTAGTAGGTTAATCACAAAAAGCAAAAGAGGAAAATGTGTACAGTCTATCTGAATTTGGAGTGGGTGGGTGAAGGGGGGAGTTAAAATACCATCCCCCAATTCCAGGTTCAAATCCCCAGTGTGAGGGTTATGGAAGGTAGGTATTTGGGAGGTGACTGACTGGGTCATGAGAAAAAGACCTTTAAAAGCACACCCTCTGTCTCTCACCCACATGTGGTGGGTTGGGGCACTATGAACTATCATTGATCTGGATTATCATCCAGACCTAGAGCCTCCATGCTTGATCAAACATACTGTCATATTTACCTTACCTCACCTTCCCCTTCCATGTAAATGTTGTTTAATAGGTTACATTGTCTAGTTTGGCAGTCAGAAGGGATAAAGCAGACATCATATTTCTTGGATTAGTTTTGGAAATCCTGAGTTTGGGAGTGTTTGAATCAATACGCTTAAAGGAAAGTCAAAACTTGTTAAAATGGGAATTCATCTGTATTGTGAGCCACCCGTCTCCAACAAGTTTCCCTGTAAATAATCAATAAGTAAATGAACTTCTGAGTATAAAACGTAAGTGTAATATATTCACATTGACCTACAATTAACTTATATACTTTTAGCACTTCATGGGTCTCTCTCTCTCTCTCTCTCTCTCACACACACACACACACACACATGTGCAGTTTCACGTGACCTATCAAGTGTCTCTCCAGAAGTCTAGTCAGATGGAAGTTCGCTTTTGCTTTTCACACAGTGGCTAGGAGATGGGGGTCTATGATGTCTGTCACTCTTAGAAACGCCCAAGCAGTGTAGACTCTTGGGAACTCTCTTTATTTTGATTAGTCAGCGTGGCCCACATTGGTACCACAGTGAGACAGTTCAACCCTTCAAAGGGCTTTCAAATGCCAAGTGCTTATAGCACAATTTACAATTAGAGGTGTTTTTCTACTGAAAGGGGTTTGGGGCTTCTTTTTCACAGATTGATGCAAATTGAGTAAATGTTTGTGTCCATGTAGTGCTCTTACATGTGTGCCTCCTATTATGGGTCTGCTAGCAAATTCCAAGAGATAAGAAATGGTATTGAAGGAACCAGACCCTCACCCTGCCCCCTACTTTGGCAGCCATGACAGGCTGCAGAAAAAACCCAGCAAGATGCAGGCCTCTGACTCAGCAACATGTGCTGAGCTTTTGATCTTGTCTGGGAAGCCAGAGCTCCTCCATGTGGTGAGGAACCAATCAGAAGTGAGCTGGTGGGCTCTGGATGTGATTTACAGTAACAGTGAAATATAGAGCATAGCAACCACCCTGGGAGGACTTTTAGACCATAGCAACCTTCTTGCAGATACAGTGGACCAATCAACACAGGACAGGTCACCCAAGCCCAGAAGTTCACCAATCCTAAAATGGTTGTGGACTCCAGGCACTCCCCATGCTCTACCCCAATATATTCCCTGTCCCATAGTCCCTCCAGTCCCTTCTT